TCTATCCATCTTCTCATGGCAGGCCGAGTTCTACTGTGAATCCGTTGGTTTTTGGGATCGCTCTGTGGGGATTCTCCCTGTTGGAAAGTTCTCTTCCCAAACACTTGATGTTTCCCAAAATTGTCTGAATTTTGGAGGTGGGTGATTTTTGCTCCAATAAGGGTGGTTTTATCCTGCCCTGGGGTGTGATGGGGACGTTTCTAGGTTGGCTCTGCAGGAGTGGCTGTGCCAAGGAGGACCTGGGTGGCCCGGGCAACCGGGCAGAGCAGCCCCAGGGTCCCTGGAAGACAGGAGGGACAGGACCAGCTCCTTGTCCCCTGTCCCCAACAGCGTCACAGGGGCTGGTTTTAGAAGAGCTTGGTCATTTCCAGACTCATTTCTGTTTTAAACGGGGGCCAGGCTGATTTTGTTGGTACTTGGTGTGATGGAGGGGCGTTACCAGCTTGAAAGGGTGATTCCTGAGCACTGTGATTATTTTTTTTTCATGTGTGAATTTTGCTCAGAACAGATTAAAAACTAACCATTTGTTCTCCCTTATCCCTTTTTGCACCTTCTCAAGGGCTTGGGAGCTTTTCCACCTCATCCCTTGCTGTGGCCATGGCTTCACCATCAGTCCCTTCCAACCGCTTGGCAGATGCTCTGGTTTTAAACCCTTTCCTGCTGCTTCTGGATCATACGCCAGGAACCTGACGGAGGTATTTGGGCAGAGACACCTTGATTTCTGACAAAATTCCCTTCCGTTCCCCCAGGGTGGGCTCTTCCCCCACCCCACCTTCCAAAAGGGGGGAAGGAGTAGGAAAAACGTGCTGGCTGCCTTCACCTTTTTCGAAGAGCAACCCCAGAAATGCACTTTGTGGGGAAGAGGGGGGAGACATTGCCTTTGTGCCCCCCTCCCAGGGGTTCGTTTAGGTGGGGTGGGGGAGTGCTGCTCACCCCTCCAGCGCAAGGGGAGGTACAATTAATGGCGTGACTGCCTGGGGGTGGGATTTCCCCTGCCTTCCCTGTGGGAGGAGGGAGGCCAGGTTATCTTTTAGGATGGCATGGCAGGAGGTGGCATGGAGAGGGTGGAATGGCGGGGGGGGGCTGTAGGCAGGGCGAACTACAACTCCCAGAAGGCTCTTCGGGAGGGCCCGGCTCAAACAGCCAATCAGCGCCTGAGTTTCCGCCCTATAAAATGCCACTGCGAGGGGCCTTCCGCCTTTCTCTATGATGGCGGCTGCGGGAAGGGTTAGGAGTTGTGGCGCCGGGAGAATGGCGCACCATCCGCCGCCATCCGCCGCCATCCGCCTTCCCCGGGGGCTCTCCCGCCGCATCGGCGTCCCGATGGGCCGTGAAGGGGCAGCGCGGCCGCGGGAGAGCCTTGTTCCCTCTCTCCTTCCTTCCTCCCGGGCCGGGCCCGGCGTGCGGGGAAGATGGCGGGGCCGCCTCGGGTGAGTGCCGGGCCTGCAGGCCTACCCCGGCCCTATCGAAGCTGCGTCTGCCTGGGTGGTGTGGCAGATGCAGTCAAAAAGGAGCCGAGAGCGAAGGGTTTATTTTTTTTTCCTCGACGGTCGCCGCTCAGTTTGAGTCTCCGTAACTGTCCGGCAACATTTCAGGAAAATACACGGCCCGGGGACGGGGTGGCGCCGGGGCCTGGCCCGGGTTGAGGGGGGGTTGTCGGTAGAAGGCGATAACCAGCCCGAACGCCTGTTTGTGAGGCCGGACCTGGTGCGGGGAGAGGTGGGAGGTGCTGGGTCTCCACGGTGCTTCTCCTGACGCTCCGGACTCCCTTCTCCCCCAGCAGCAGCCTGGCCTGGAAGGTGATCCCATCGCTGGATGGATGGTGGCTCCTCGGATAGCGGCGTTGGGCAGGTGAGATGTGCCATCCAGGCCCTGGAGGCTCCCTTTATGTTGCCCTCACGGTCTCTCTTGGCCAGAGGAGTGAGCAGACATATTTCCCGGTCCTCTGCTACCGGATACTGCCGGTGTGGATTGTACCTGGTGCTGCGGATCCTCTGCAGGGCTCCTGCTCGGGGTTGGCCTCTGCAGACAAGGATATCCCACTGTTGGAATTATCTCTCCAGGCATTAAGAACTGCAGAATCTCCTTATTTCTTGTTCAGTCGAGATCAGAGAATGGGTTAGAGTTGGAAGGGACCTTAAAGATCATCCAGTTCCAATCCCCCTGCCCTGGGCAGGGACACCTCCCACCAGCCCAGGTTGCTCCAAGCCCCCTCCAACCTGCCCTTGAACCTCTCCAGGGATGGGGCAGCCACAGCTTCTCGGGGCAACCTGGGCCAGGCTCTCACCACCCTCACACCAAACAAGTTCTTCCCCACATCTCAGCTCCATCTCCCCTCTTCCAGTGTCAAACCCTTCCCCCTCTCCTAGGGCTCCCCTCCCTGATCCAGAGTCCCTCCCCAGCTTTCCTGGAGCCCCTTGAGGGACTGGAAAGGGGCTCCAAGGTCTCCCCGGAGCCTTCTCTTCTCCAGGCTGAACCCCCCAACTCTCTCAGCCCCCCCTCCCAGCAGAGGGGCTCCAGCCCTCCCAGTATCTCCATGGCCTCCTCTGGCCCTGCTCCGACAGCTCCATGTCCTTCCCTTGCTGAGGACTCCAGAGCTGGACAGTGGGTGGAATAAGAGGGGAATTTCTCCCTCCAGTGTCACCGGGGCCAGGCTGGTGGCACAACTGGGACTCAGACCTGACCCAAAGGCAGTAGGTGACTCTTTTCCTCCATCTGAGGCCGTGTCAGGGTGTGTGAGCTGCATGTTTATCCAAGAGCTGTGGCTCTGTGTGATAGCTACAGCTCTCCAACAACATGCCAGAGCAACGGGAAGGTCTTTGACTGCTGGGCCTCTTCTTGCCTGTTGCTGTCACTCGCCCCTCCTATACATTTTCAGAAATTTGGGATGTTTCTTGGTGGTTCCTGGGTCGGGGATGTGTACTTGTGGGGCTGATGCTAAGGTTGTTGTGGTGTTTTCCAGGGTTGTTGGTGTTCCAGAGCTCGCTCCGCCGATGGCCGGATAGTCCCAAGGTAAGGACACGTGCCCTTCTTGGAGAACTGTCCCTGTCCCTCCAGATCCCTTTCCCATCAGATCTGAATACCGATCTCGTGGTCGAAAAAGGAGGAAAAACAAAATTCTGACTGGTCTGGGCCTCGTTGCTGGTGCTGCCCTGCTCCGAGAGAGGCTGGTTGGGAGACAGTCCCTGGGGGTCGGTGAAGGTGGTGGGGGGAGGGCAGAGGTACCAGGATCCGTCTGTGTGGATTCCTGATGTTCCTGTGGTGACCTTGGATACTTACCCAGAGCTCTGTTTTTTTCAGGAATTAACTCATTTAGTGGAAAAGGCCGAGAGCATGTGAGCCCCTGTCCCTGGTGAAGGGGTTCGGTTGTGTCCCTGGGGCTGGAGAGGTGACACGGGGCAGGTGAGTGGCCTTTGGGAGTAATTAGCAGGTGTTTGATGAGCGGGATGGAGGAGGGAGAGGCAGTTCAGGCTGGTGTGACCGGTGGGAAGGATGGACTTCGTTAGTAAGGTTTTTAATTAATTGGGTGGCCTGGAGACCCTCTGGGGGCGCAGCCTGGTCCGTGATGACTCTTCTCTTTGGAGACTGTTGGATGAATCCTGCGGATATGGGGCTGAGGCCAGGCTGGGGGGAGCTGAAACGGCCCCACGGTGCGGGGAGGGGGGATTCCTTCTCCCTCATGAAACCTGCAGCCGGGTCAAACTGCTCCTCATTCAGGTTGGATTCTTTTTTATCCCCTCTTTTCAGGTGTAAGTGGAGCCGTTTCCCCGAGGGTTTGGTGCAAGAGCTTGTTCTTTCCCAGCCTGGCTCCTTCCCGGGCCTGGAGCTCCCCCACCTGGGAACAGCAGCTCCAGGTGTTGCTCAGGCTCCTGTTGAACCTGAAGAGTGGACCCTTCTGTGGGCTTTTCTCTGGAGAAGAGCTTGGATATAAAGTATTTTGAGGGTGAATAAATGGAATTGCTTGAAACTCTTGCTGTGGTCGGTTGGGGGGTGACACCTGAGTGCTCCTACCCACGGCTGGGGGTGAGGCTTGGGAAGATTGGAGCAACTTGGGAATCACAGAATGGTTTGGGTTGGAAGGGACCTTAAAGATCACCTAGTTCCAGCCCCCGACTTCTCCCACCTGAGGTCACCCGTCCACGGTTGGTTCTCCATGGGCTGGATCTCCGGGCAACTGGTGTGTGACTGGGATGTGCTCTTCCCAGCTGGAAGTGGATGTTTCTGCCTCTCTGTGGAGGTGGGTGCTCCTCAGGAGTGGAGTTACCACCTGAGGGAGCTGCTGTGGAACCTGTGGGGACACGGAGCAGCCTTCACCCGCAGCAGCTCTTCTGCTGGAGCCTCCCCCGTGGAGCCCTGGGGAGTCACAGCAGCGTCTCCCCAACGTTGCCACCATCCCTGGTGACTTGGGTCACCCTTTTCTTTACGGGGGAGAACAAACTGGGGGTGACAGCACCCTCAGAGCTTTTGGGGGGGTTGTCATTCCCCAAGGTGGGGGTGGCAGGTGGCAAAGTCCTTGTCTGCAGGTGACCTGTTTGCAGAGAGCACCTTTGTCCTGGGGACATGGTGCCCCTCCATGTCCCTTCCCTTCTCCCCTTGGGGACACTAGAACCCCTTTCCTATGGGGCTCAGCCCTCGTAGGATTTTGGCTTCCTCGGGGGCACCAGCCTCTTTGTAGACCCCCAGCCTGGGGTCTTTGTCACCAAAGCCAGGCAGGGGGACAGAGGTGGCGTGTGACAATGTCCTGGGTGACAGCTGGCGTGTGACAACATCCTGGGTGACGTTGGAGGACGTGGCCAACAGCTTCTCCTCCTCCCCGGGGACGCTTTCTTTGTCCACCTTGGAGTGGGGACAAGGGTGGGGACCTGTCTCAGCAAATCCCTGCTGGGACAGGGGTGGGGACAGTCCTGGGGACAATCAATCTGCCCCTACAGGCATGGGGATGGTGACAGGTCCCCCCCAGGACCCCCACCCCATGGGGGGACACTACCAGTTCCGTGTCATCGTGCTGGGGGACGCGGCGGTGGGGAAGTCCTCGCTGCTGCGCTGCTTCACCGAGGGTCCCTCTGGGGGGGTGGCCACCCCCTGCCCCACACCCTCTGGGGGGGCAGCCACCCCCTGCCCCACGGTCGGCGTGGAGTTCTACAGCCGCACCGTCCCCCTGTCACCCACCAGCACGGCCAAGCTGCAGCTCTGGGACACGGCCGGCCAGGAGAGGTTCAGGTGAGGGGTTTGGGGGGACACCAAGGAGGGGGACGCAGCCCCCATGTGGGACCCCAGCACCCAACTGACTCGTCCCACCCCGGGGCAGCGATGGCTCCCTGGGACAGTGGCACTTTAGGGGCTGGTGGGACCTTGGGATGGGCTTGGGGTGAAGGTGGAGCTGGTTTTGGGGAGCGGCCAAAGGAGAAGGGGTGGGTGATGGCTCTGGGGTCCTGATGATGGGGTCCTGGTCCTGGGGTGACAGTCCTGGGGGGCTGGTTCTGGGGTCCCGGTCCTGGGGGGCTGCTCCCAGGGTCCTGGTCCTGGAGTCCCAGTTCTTCAGGGGCTGGTGGGACCTTGGGATGGGCTTGAGGTGACAATGGAGCTGGTTTTGGGGAGCGGCCAAAGGAGCAGGGGTGGGTGATGGCCCTGGGGTCCTGATGAAGGAGTCCTGGTCCTGGGGTGACAGTCCTGGGGTACCTGGTCCTGGGATCCTGGTGTCCCAGTTCTTTAGGGGCTGATGGGACTTTGGGATGGGCTTGAGGTCAAGATGGAGCTGGTTTTGGGGAGCGCCCAAAGGAGTAGGGGTGGGTGACGGCCCTGGAGTCCCAGTCCTGGGGTCCCAGTCCTGGGGGGCTGCTCCTGGGGTCCTGGTCCCAAGGTGCTGGTCCTGGGCTCCCAGTTCTGGGGTGCTGGTCCTGGGGAGCTGTTCCTGGGGTGCTGGTCCCAGTGTCCTGGTTCTGGGGTCCCAGTTCTGGGGTTCCAGTCTTGGGGGGCTGCTCCTGGGGTGTTGGTTTTGGGGTGCAGGTCCTGCTGTCCTGGTTCTGGGGTCCTGGTCCCAGTGCTGGGGTGCAGGGTCCTGGGGTGCTAATCTTGGGGTGCTGCTGGGCTGGGTGATCCCCTCCCTGATCCCATCAGGCTGGAGCCTGGAGCTCCCAGGGGCATGAGGGAGGCTCAAATGGGGCAGGAGGGGCTGAAGAGCTGGGGCTGGAGTTGGGGGGGGTCCCATGCTGCCCCCATCCCTTTTGAGGGCCCTAGGGTTGGTTGGGGGTGCCCTGTTTCTGCCCCATCAGCACCCATCCATGGGTGCTGCCCCATCCCCACTGCTGGGGGGGACCATCCGCCGCCATCCGCCGCCATCCGCCTTCCCCGGGGGCTCTCCCGCCGCATCGGCGTCCCGATGGGCCGTGAAGGGGCAGCGCGGCCGCGGGAGAGCCTTGTTCCCTCTCTCCTTCCTTCCTCCCGGGCCGGGCCCGGCGTGCGGGGAAGATGGCGGGGCCGCCTCGGGTGAGTGCCGGGCCTGCAGGCCTACCCCGGCCCTATCGAAGCTGCGTCTGCCTGGGTGGTGTGGCAGATGCAGTCAAAAAGGAGCCGAGAGCGAAGGGTTTATTTTTTTTTCCTCGACGGTCGCCGCTCAGTTTGAGTCTCCGTAACTGTCCGGCAACATTTCAGGAAAATACACGGCCCGGGGACGGGGTGGCGCCGGGGCCTGGCCCGGGTTGAGGGGGGGTTGTCGGTAGAAGGCGATAACCAGCCCGAACGCCTGTTTGTGAGGCCGGACCTGGTGCGGGGAGAGGTGGGAGGTGCTGGGTCTCCACGGTGCTTCTCCTGACGCTCCGGACTCCCTTCTCCCCCAGCAGCAGCCTGGCCTGGAAGGTGATCCCATCGCTGGATGGATGGTGGCTCCTCGGATAGCGGCGTTGGGCAGGTGAGATGTGCCATCCAGGCCCTGGAGGCTCCCTTTATGTTGCCCTCACGGTCTCTCTTGGCCAGAGGAGTGAGCAGACATATTTCCCGGTCCTCTGCTACCGGATACTGCCGGTGTGGATTGTACCTGGTGCTGCGGATCCTCTGCAGGGCTCCTGCTCGGGGTTGGCCTCTGCAGACAAGGATATCCCACTGTTGGAATTATCTCTCCAGGCATTAAGAACTGCAGAATCTCCTTATTTCTTGTTCAGTCGAGATCAGAGAATGGGTTAGAGTTGGAAGGGACCTTAAAGATCATCCAGTTCCAATCCCCCTGCCCTGGGCAGGGACACCTCCCACCAGCCCAGGTTGCTCCAAGCCCCCTCCAACCTGCCCTTGAACCTCTCCAGGGATGGGGCAGCCACAGCTTCTCGGGGCAACCTGGGCCAGGCTCTCACCACCCTCACACCAAACAAGTTCTTCCCCACATCTCAGCTCCATCTCCCCTCTTCCAGTGTCAAACCCTTCCCCCTCTCCTAGGGCTCCCCTCCCTGATCCAGAGTCCCTCCCCAGCTTTCCTGGAGCCCCTTGAGGGACTGGAAAGGGGCTCCAAGGTCTCCCCGGAGCCTTCTCTTCTCCAGGCTGAACCCCCCAACTCTCTCAGCCCCCCCTCCCAGCAGAGGGGCTCCAGCCCTCCCAGCATCTCCATGGCCTCCTCTGGCCCTGCTCCGACAGCTCCATGTCCTTCCCTTGCTGAGGACTCCAGAGCTGGACAGTGGGTGGAATAAGAGGGGAATTTCTCCCTCCAGTGTCACCGGGGCCAGGCTGGTGGCACAACTGGGACTCAGACCTGACCCAAAGGCAGTAGGTGACTCTTTTCCTCCATCTGAGGCCGTGTCAGGGTGTGTGAGCTGCATGTTTATCCAAGAGCTGTGGCTCTGTGTGATAGCTACAGCTCTCCAACAACATGCCAGAGCAACGGGAAGGTCTTTGACTGCTGGGCCTCTTCTTGCCTGTTGCTGTCACTCGCCCCTCCTATACATTTTCAGAAATTTGGGATGTTTCTTGGTGGTTCCTGGGTCGGGGATGTGTACTTGTGGGGCTGATGCTAAGGTTGTTGTGGTGTTTTCCAGGGTTGTTGGTGTTCCAGAGCTCGCTCCGCCGATGGCCGGATAGTCCCAAGGTAAGGACACGTGCCCTTCTTGGAGAACTGTCCCTGTCCCTCCAGATCCCTTTCCCATCAGATCTGAATACCGATCTCGTGGTCGAAAAAGGAGGAAAAACAAAATTCTGACTGGTCTGGGCCTCGTTGCTGGTGCGATCCTGCTCCGAGAGAGGCTGGTTGGGAGACAGTCCCTGGGGGTCTCCTTCCTTGGGGGAGGGAGTGGGTGAAGGTGGTGGGGAGAGGGCAGAGGGACCGGGATCCGTCTGCGTGGGTTCCTGATGTTCCTGTGGTACCTTGGATACTTACCCAGAGCTCTGTTTTTTTCAGGAATTAACTCATTTAGTGGAAAAGGCCGAGAGCATGTGAGCCCCTGTCCCTGGTGAAGGGGTTCGGTTGTGTCCCTGGGGCTGGAGAGGTGACACGGGGCAGGTGAGTGGCCTTTGGGAGTAATTAGCAGGTGTTTGATGAGCGGGATGGAGGAGGGAGAGGCAGTTCAGGCTGGTGTGACCGGTGGGAAGGATGGACTTCGTTAGTAAGGTTTTTAATTAATTGGGTGGCCTGGAGACCCTCTGGGGGCGCAGCCTGGTCCGTGATGACTCTTCTCTTTGGAGACTGTTGGATGAATCCTGCGGATATGGGGCTGAGGCCAGGCTGGGGGGAGCTGAAACGGCCCCACGGTGCGGGGAGGGGGGATTCCTTCTCCCTCATGAAACCTGCAGCCGGGTCAAACTGCTCCTCATTCAGGTTGGATTCTTTTCTATCCCCTCTTTTCAGGTGTAAGTGGAGCCGTTTCCCCGAGGGTTTGGTGCATGAGCTTGTTCTTTCCCAGCCTGGCTCCTTCCCGGGCCTGGAGCTCCCCCACCTGGGAACAGCAGCTCCAGGTGTTGCTCAGGCTCCTGTTGAACCTGAAGAGTGGACCCTTCTGTGGGCTTTTCTCTGGAGAAGAGCTTGGATATAAAGTATTTTGAGGGTGAATAAATGGAATTGCTTGAAACTCTTGCTGTGGTCGGTTGGGGGGTGACACCTGAGTGCTCCTACCCACGGCTGGGGGTGAGGCTTGGGAAGATTGGAGCAACTTGGGAATCACAGAATGGTTTGGGTTGGAAGGGACCTTAAAGATCACCTAGTTCCAGCCCCCGACTTCTCCCACCTGAGGTCACCCGTCCACGGTTGGTTCTCCATGGGCTGGATCTCCGGGCAACTGGTGTGTGACTGGGATGTGCTCTTCCCAGCTGGAAGTGGATGTTTCTGCCTCTCTGTGGAGGTGGGTGCTCCTCAGGAGTGGAGTTACCACCTGAGGGAGCTGCTGTGGAACCTGTGGGGACACGGAGCAGCCTTCACCCGCAGCAGCTCTTCTGCTGGAGCCTCCCCCGTGGAGCCCTGGGGAGTCACAGCAGCGTCTCCCCAACGTTGCCACCATCCCTGGTGACTTGGGTCACCCTTTTCTTTACGGGGGAGAACAAACTGGGGGTGACAGCACCCTCAGAGCTTTTGGGGGGGTTGTCATTCCCCAAGGTGGGGGTGGCAGGTGGCAAAGTCCTTGTCTGCAGGTGACCTGTTTGCAGAGAGCACCTTTGTCCTGGGGACATGGTGCCCCTCCATGTCCCTTCCCTTCTCCCCTTGGGGACACTAGAACCCCTTTCCTATGGGGCTCAGCCCTCGTAGGATTTTGGCTTCCTCGGGGGCACCAGCGTCTTTGTAGACCCCCAGCCTGGGGTCTTTGTCACCAAAGCCAGGCAGGGGGACAGAGGTGGCGTGTGACAATGTCCTGGGTGACAGCTGGCGTGTGACAACATCCTGGGTGACGTTGGAGGACGTGGCCAACAGCTTCTCCTCCTCCCCGGGGACGCTTTCTTTGTCCACCTTGGAGTGGGGACAAGGGTGGGGACCTGTCTCAGCAAATCCCTGCTGGGACAGGGGTGGGGACAGTCCTGGGGACAATCAATCTGCCCCTACAGGCATGGGGATGGTGACAGGTCCCCCCCAGGACCCCCACCCCATGGGGGGACACTACCAGTTCCGTGTCATCGTGCTGGGGGACGCGGCGGTGGGGAAGTCCTCGCTGCTGCGCTGCTTCACCGAGGGTCCCTCTGGGGGGGTGGCCACCCCCTGCCCCACACCCTCTGGGGGGGCAGCCACCCCCTGCCCCACGGTCGGCGTGGAGTTCTACAGCCGCACCGTCCCCCTGTCACCCACCAGCACGGCCAAGCTGCAGCTCTGGGACACGGCCGGCCAGGAGAGGTTCAGGTGAGGGGTTGGGGGGGACACCAAGGAGGGGGACGCAGCCCCCATGTGGGACCCCAGCACCCAACTGACTCGTCCCACCCCGGGGCAGCGATGGCTCCCTGGGACAGTGGCACTTTAGGGGCTGGTGGGACCTTGGGATGGGCTTGGGGTGAAGGTGGAGCTGGTTTTGGGGAGCAGCCAAAGGAGAAGGGGTGGGTGATGGCTCTGGGGTCCTGATGATGGGGTCCTGGTCCTGGGGTGACAGTCCTGGGGGGCTGGTTCTGGGGTCCCAGTCCTGGGGGGCTGCTCCCAGGGTCCTGGTCCTGGTGTCCTGGTCCTGGAGTCCCAGTTCTTCAGGGGCTGGTGGGACCTTGGGATGGGCTTGAGGTGACAATGGAGCTGGTTTTGGGGAGCGGCCAAAGGAGCAGGGGTGGGTGATGGCCCTGGGGTCCTGATGAAGGAGTCCTGGTCCTGGGGTGACAGTCCTGGGGTACCTGGTCCTGGGATCCTGGTGTCCCAGTTCTTTAGGGGCTGATGGGACTTTGGGATGGGCTTGAGGTCAAGATGGAGCTGGTTTTGGGGAGCGCCCAAAGGAGTAGGGGTGGGTGACGGCCCTGGAGTCCCAGTCCTGGGGTCCCAGTCCTGGGGGGCTGCTCCTGGGGTCCTGGTCCCAAGGTGCTGGTCCTGGGCTCCCAGTTCTGGGGTGCTGGTCCTGGGGAGCTGTTCCTGGGGTGCTGGTCCCAGTGTCCTGGTTCTGGGGTCCCAGTTCTGGGGTTCCAGTCTTGGGGGGCTGCTCCTGGGGTGTTGGTTTTGGGGTGCAGGTCCTGCTGTCCTGGTTCTGGGGTCCTGGTCCCAGTGCTGGGGTGCAGGGTCCTGGGGTGCTAATCTTGGGGTGCTGCTGGGCTGGGTGATCCCCTCCCTGATCCCATCAGGCTGGAGCCTGGAGCTCCCAGGGGCATGAGGGAGGCTCAAATGGGGCAGGAGGGGCTGAAGAGCTGGGGCTGGAGTTGGGGGGGGTCCCATGCTGCCCCCATCCCTTTTGAGGGCCCTAGGGTTGGTTGGGGGTGCCCTGTTTCTGCCCCATCAGCACCCATCCATGGGTGCTGCCCCATCCCCACTGCTGGGGGGGGCACAGAAGGACCCTTGAGCTCCCACAAAAACCCTCCAGAGCCCCCCAGTTCTGCCCCAACTGAAAATTGGGGTGCAGATGGTCCAGGCAGGTCTCCCCACCCCTGCTCCTGAGGTCCCAAAAGTCCCCCGACCCCCATCCCGGGGCAGGGGGTGCTAGGGTGTCCCCCAAATCAGGGGGCAGGAGCTGGTGGGTGCTGGGGTGTCCCCCAAATCTCCCCCCCTCCTGGTGTTGCCCAGGTCCATCACCAGGTCCTTCTACCGGAGCGCGGCGGGGGTGCTGCTGGTCTTTGACCTCACCAACCGGGCCTCCTTCGAGCGCGTCCCCGAGTGGCACCGCGAGGCCGCGGGGGACCCTCACCCCCCCACCTTCGTCCTGGTGGGACACAAGTGTGACCTGGAGGCCGAGCGAGCCGTGTCGGCGGAGGAGGCCGGGCACTTGGCCACCACCCTGGGCATGGTGGCCTTCGTGGAGACCTCGGCCCTCAGCAACCTCAACGTGGAGCTGGCCTTCCAGACGTTGGCGGGGGGCATCCAGCGGGCGCTGGGCCGGGGGGGGGACACCCCTCTCCGGGGCTGTGGTGGCATCAGGCTCATCCCCAGCCAGAGCCACCCCCGGCCCCCGGCGCGGGGGGAGCCCCGGGAGCGCTGCCAGTGCTGATGGGGACAAGGAGGGGGGACACAGGACCCTCCACCCCTGGGGATGTGTCCCCCCCTTGCCCTTGGGTGATGCTCGGGGCTGTGTGTCCCCCCCGCCCTGGGCTTGGGTTTATTTCGAGCCTTGATTTGGGGGCTCTGAAAAAAATATTCCCCTCCTGCAGGAGTGTTTTTAATAAATTTGAGGCTTTTCCACACTAAATAAAGGCTGTGGGCGAGTGGCTGTCCCCTGGCAGGGACATGTTGGGTTGAGCAGAGCACAGCAACTCAACCCAACTGGGAGGGGGGACACAGGACCCTCCACCCCTGGGGATGTGTCCCCCCCTTGCCCTTGGGTGATGCTCGGGGCTGTGTGTCCCCCCCGCCCTGGGCTTGGGTTTATTTCGAGCCTTGATTTGGGGGCTCTGAAAAAAATATTCCCCTCCTGCAGGAGTGTTTTTAATAAATTTGAGGCTTTTCCACACTAAATAAAGGCTGTGGGCGAGTGGCTGTCCCCTGGCAGGGACATGTTGCTGTGCTCTGCTCAACCCAACTCAACCCAACTCTCAACTCAACTCAACTCGTGACATGGGTGATGCTCTAAGGGAGGTCACTGGTGGGGTAAGATTCCCCCCCAAATGTCTGCACTTGATGGGCCTCTTGTCCTGGGGCCACCACCCTGGGAAAATGGGAGCAGGGACCCATTGATGGTTGGGACAGTGAACTCTCCATGAGCCAGCAATGGGCCCTTGTGGCCAAGAGGCCAATGGGATCCTGGGGGTCATCAAGAAGAGTGTGACCAGCAGGTGGAGGGAGGTCATTCTCCCCCTCTGCTCTGCACTGGGGAGGCCACAACTGGAATCCTGTGTCCAGTTCTGGGCTCCCCAGTTCAAGAGAGACAGGGAACTGCTGGAGAGAGTCCAGTGTAGGGCACCAGAGATGATGGAGGGATTGGAGCATCTCCCTGCTGAGGAAAGGCTGAGAGAGCTGGGGCTCCTGAGCCTGGAGAAGAGAAGGCTGAGGGGAGACCTTCTCAATGCTTCCAAGGATCTAAAGGGTGGGTTGAGGGAGGATGGAGCCAGACTCTTTTCAGGGGTTCCCAGTGAGAGGACGAGGGGCAACGGGCAGGGTGAGGGTGGCAGAGCCCTGGCAGAGGCTGCCCAGGGAGGGTGTGGAGTCCCAAATCTGGAGATCTTCAAGCCCCACCTGGATGCTCCTGAGTGATGTGCTCTGGGCAGCCCTGCTTTGGCAGGGGAGTTGGACTGGAGGATCTCTAGAAGGTCCCTTCCAGCTCTAACAATTTCATGATTCCAGGATCTGGCAACGTGAATACAGCGGGTTTAAACTTTTGTCTCCTTTTTTTTTTTCCGAGGTAGATGCATGGCTGCAAGCCCCATGGTGGGGCTGGCTTTGTTTGCTGGGCCGGTGGAAGTGGTTGCACATTAACTGTTTCTCGTGATTTCTCGTCAGAAAGGGTTGTAAATGGCTCGAGTGGTAGAAACAGACGCCGAAAGCCTCAGCCTTGGGTTTGCTGGGCAGGATCCCACCTCCCGCCCGGGGCTTTTAAATGGGAAAGAGAATTGGAAGGAAACAAAAGAACTGTGCCCTTTTGGTGCATTAATGATAGAATGAGCTGAGAATCTCTCATAGATTGTGCTGGGTTTGGAAAGAGTTTAACCTTTTGAAACTTCTGACTGGCAGAAAAAACACAAACCCAAGTAGTGATTAGTTATCCTGAAGCTAAAGTTTGATTTATTGCAACTTTTGTAACATTTCAGCTTTACTACTAGAAAAACATCTCAGGATACTTGAAGAACATTTGATTTTTTTACTAAAAACACCTGTTCTAATGAACTTTAGGGATAATCTTGGTTGGGAAGGACACATCTGAGGCTGTAGTTGCGTTCTCTAAAGTGCAAGCTTTGTGGGTCGTTTTTTCCTGTGTATCTCAAGGGTCTTCTTGTTTTGTCCCCCACGTTGGACACCCCCATCCCCTTCAGCACAAAGACTCCCCGAGATGGTGTTTTGAGACATTTCTTTAAAACCAAGTGGAGAAAAACACCAGCCTCCCTGTATCCCTTCAGCTGGGAAACCTCATCCGAGCTTTTCTAATGGAGCAACGGCATTTGGGGTTTGTGAAAATAGTGCAGAAATTCAGCCAAGGGCACCCAGCAAAGTCAAGCATCATCTTCATCATCCCATCGTCTTCATCATCCCTACACAGGCCAAGCCCAGCAGCTGCTCGGTTCCTCTTCTCAGGAGGAAACAGCAACTGGGGAAGGTGGAGTTTTCATCTGCTTTTCTGAGTTAATCTCCTGGCGTTGCAATAGTGTTATTATTTAATTTTTATTTTTTAATGGCTGCACGGTTGTGTTTTCAGTTCACTGAAGGTTTTCCTGCAGCGTTGTGGTCGTTGACGGGGACGTCCTGCTTGCAGCGTGTGTCGGGTGTCGATGCTGCTCATTTTGCTAATTGACTTGATGTTTGGGTTTGGTTTTTTTTCCATCGTGGTGCCGAGCTCTGGCACCTTCAGTTGGGTTTCCCTGGCGATTTTGAGCATTGGGTGTGATTTAAAAGGCAGCGAGGTCCTTGGTGTATCTCTGCTGACACGGCCTTAATAAAGAAGGCGAGGATTTTCTAGGATTCCCATGGACAAACATAATCTGCTGCAGGAGGTAAATATCGGGATAAACATAGCGCTCCTTACCTTTGGAACTCAACCAGAGCCTTATGAAACAGAGAGGAGGAGGAGGATGTTTTTATTTTTTTATTTCCTTAACAAAAATGCATTAATTATTTCCTGTATCAGTTTTGATCAGAAGAACAGGAATTACCTGTGCTTTCACCCGATCTCCCCATGGTGATTTCAATGTCTCAGAAGGAAAGTGCTGGAGGGGAGGGGAGGCAGTGGTCTCTCTGCAGGGTGAGGAGGGAGGGGACAAGGACTTTTCTCAGCCTTTTTCAACACACCGTATGTTCCCAAAGCCTTGACACTCCTTCAGCCAGCGAAGCTCCGAGGGTACAGCTTGTGTCTGCGGTGACGCGCTGCCGACTGCCCGGGTGCTCCGTGTGAGCGGGTGTGATGCTGTCACTTGACAGCGTTTGATTTTGGTTTTTATTTGTTATCATTATTAATTTATTTTTTATTCGGGAAGCGGTAAAACATCTCTGTTCTGCCGCCCCGTTTTGCTGCTCGTCGAGGCGATGTTTGAGCTGAGGGGAGGCAGGCTGGCAGGTACGGGTGGAAGCCAACTGCAATTACAAATCCCTTCGTTAGCGATCAAACCGTTGCTGCGGTGGGGTAGCTCGTGGGCTTCCAGCCGCCGGGATGTTGGGGATGCTGCGTGGGCTTTGATGTGTTGATGGGTGGATGATGATGATGATGATGGGGATATCAGGAATGTGTTGGCGTGTAACGCGCTGGAATCAAACGGGATGTGCAGGAGGGTTGGTGATGGGAGGTGGTGGCTCCGTGCTGGGTTTTCACTGGGGGGTTATGTAGTGTCTCAAAGGAATCTTGGATTTTTGGGTGTCAGTGAGTAACCCGCTGGCTCTTTCTCCTCTGGGGAAGTCGGTGGAGGTGTTGGTTGTGTGTCCACAGCACCTGGGCGGGAGTTTCTCATCGCACACCTTTCCTTGATGTGCTCTCTAATGAGGGGCTGTTTGATGAGAACCTCTTCACTTGAGGGCACCGTGAGGGTACCCGTCCTGCTGCAGAGCAGGCTTTTCTTCAGCCACATCCCATCCTTCTCTTGGAAAAACCATCCTTTTCTTGGTTCTGCTTGGAGATGCTGTGGATGGGGAGAGCTCTGAGCTTTTTCCAGCTGCCCAGGCCAGGGGATTGCCTGGAATAGAGAAGCCCGGCTGGATTGGGAAGCAAAGTGGGTGCTTCCCACCCCACGGGGGGCAGAGGCGTGTGTGGGTCTGGGCTCTCCTCGGGTGCTGGCTCTGCCTGGACTTGCTCCTCTCCCTGAAGCTGCTTTTGCCTTCCTGGCAA